AAAAAATTATCCTCAAATTATTTTTTCATAATAATTATCTTTAAGAGAGTCATATCGAAAAAATGATGTGAAGTTAATAATACTGACTATTCCTAGCCCAAAATTGACAAAGCCTAGAAAAAGTAAGGGAAATACCATAGTAATCTCTTTTACAATCTAGTTTCTATTGTAATGTCCTCTATAGTCATAAATAATTATTAGACAATGTTGTTACCAAATGGATAACATATATTTTTTTGATTCATGAGAAATTGAAATGCAAAACTAAGATTAATTATAATTTTTAGAAATGAATCAATAACTATGTATGGTTGGATTATTATGTTAAAATACTAAAAGTATTATAGCATACAAAATGTAAATTCTAACATCATATATGATAGAAACCAAAAATCATATTAGTCCCTTAAATACTCAACCTCCTAAACCCTTGAACCAATGGATTTTGGATAAAATATTTGTAAAATATTCTTAAAAATTTTAAATAATCAACTTTGTGAAGATGAAATTTCCTTCAAAACAGTCTAATTTTTCCCAATAAGCCTGATATTATACTTCATATGCCCAAAGGAAAAAATTAATTATAAATATTAAAAAAGGGCGCAGGAAGATTAAAATGGTCAAATGCAAAAAAGTTAAAATATTAACTATGCTCGTCATGCCTACTCACTCACAGCGAATATTAGCTGTGCTCACCATGCCTAGGCTGCTGAAAGAAACTTGTCCTCCAAAAATACTTGCAAATTTCTTAACTTCAAAAACCAACGGCTTCTTCATCAAATTAGAGAAGAAATGCCAACATGATCAACTCAGAAAGTGAATTTATGTGATCTTTCTCCCAAAGAATTCCCTTAACTATTTCTTTTGAGAAATATGAAGCATATTAAAGAAGAACCTTTTGATTGGTAGTTCTGTCAATCTTCACAATGTGAAGCTTTGGTCTCTCCCTATCCCAACGTAAAAAAAAAAAAAAAAAAAAAACAACAACAACAACAAGAGGCAACTTGCTATAAAATTTGAATACAATGATAAAAAAAATATTCATTAACACTTGACAAACAACAAAGGAAAGTCATGTTGAGAAGTTTCAAAAATAAAAGCAATATTTATGTTTCTACTTATTTCAGTCTGTCAAAAATATTGTAGCTCATCTGACTGTAGACAATAAAAAGTAAGGAAAAAGAATCATGTGAATATCTTTTCTCTAGAAAGCAAAAAAT